CTTTCTGCGTGAGTCTGTTGAAAGAAACTTTTATGGTTTGTCGCTGCACAACACTCATGTTGCTGTTTTCTTCAAACACCTGGCTGTAGAGCAGGTAAATCGATGAAAATTAGCAAAACAAAGCACGGAGAAATGGGGCTCTTTCTTTGAGGTGAAAAGTTTATCAAAAATACTGCTATTCTTTCGAAGAGAAATAAACAAAGGTTGATGAAGTCTACACATCCAACTAATACATATACAAGATCAATACAAAATTAAAAACATATGAACATATAAGCTGAAAAAAAAAACTTATTTTTAAGGTTGAAAGTGCTAGAATTCAGATTAGCTCACGAAACCCAGGGAGGACAAACTAAATGCACACCAAACAAAAGCTTTAAAATTATATACTTTTTAAAAGACAAATTAATTTGTCATAAAAAAAAACAAACGCTCAATTGGTTTGCTACAATTTTGGCTTTGATCAGGAGAGTTTATTTAAAATACTCTTAGTAAAGATCAAATTTTTTTTTTTTTGTTATGAAAATTCGTAGAAAGGTGCCAACAGCTAACGTATTTCAGATTAAGCAAAAGTTTGATAATTTACAAAAGTCTCGCCTAGAAGATGATTTTTCCACCAGTTACGATAAAAAAAAATAGAAATAGAAAGTATTTTGGAAGCCCTGCACCGTCGCTAACTCGTTCTTAAACGATGCGCAGTTAGCTTAGCTGCTCGTTGGGGGTTTTCTTGTACAGTACAAAATTTTTCCAAACACGTTTTAATGAGCTGTTGTGCAAAAATGTAGTTTCTTCTCCCAAGGTTTTGGTAAGAAAATAAAAATGAGGTGATGTGTTGTGTTTTTTTCTTCTCGAGGTCCTGTTTCATACAAACAGAAAACAATATTTCATACGACAACAAACAAAACAAATATACGTCTATAAGCGGAAACCCCGAGCTGTGCAGTCGGTCGCGTTTCCCTCGCGTCGCTTTGAATGTCAAAGCCAGAAGGTTGAACGACGGCGATCGCCCGGAGGCCGCTGGTTTTACACTTTTCGCTCTAGAAGCAGCTAAAAGAAAAGAAAGAGGTGGCGGGGAAGATGAACGCCGTCGATCCATTTTGTGCATGTTTTCAGCTACCTTGTAGATAAAAACTGAAACGCTCTAGTGGTCTGCAGTTATCAGCAACTGTGGCTAAAAGCAGCAAATTACAGATCAACTTCCGGTTTTCAGTATTTATTCAGTATTTAACTTTTTTTCTGATATTTTGGTTCACCCGAGGCACTGCAGATGCTAAATATAACGGTAAATGGTCTAGAACCAGAACAAGATTTGAATTAAATGTGTGAGATGAGAAATCCAATACTGTTCAAGCAAAAGAGAATATTAAAATGATAAGTTGAGTTTGTTTAAAATGTGCTGCATAATGTGCATTATTGTGGTCACTGTGTCGTCATAATTTAGTTTCTAAATATTCTGCTGACTTGTTCTACATCGTTACACCAGATTACATGCAAATGTTTTCTTTTACATTTGTTTTTTTTTTATTTTGTTGTTTTAACTTTTAGTCTTACAAAAAGATCCTCAAGGGAGAAGTATTACAAATGAAATAATAAACATTATAATAACCTGGATTTAGCAGCTTTTCACTCACTTGCCCAATTAAATTTAAAAAATTGTGGCAATCACCGTACTGTCCGGTAACTCCACTCAGTATTGTAGTGTCCATACAATAATAGATTTTGTATAGATTTCTTAGATTCTGTAGTTACTTTACAAAACTTGTACCAACTGTGTCAAAACTAAAACTGCCGTACGGTACGGTGACGACTGTGCGTATGTTAGGTCTATTCATTTATTACCGTACAGAGACTTTATTTATAGTATGGTAAATAAAAGCTCCATATACACTGCCTGGCAAAAAAAAAAAAAAAAAAAAGTTGCCACCTGGATTTAACAAATCAAACAGGTACGAGCCTTTATTATTGGATAATCACTGCATGGGCGATTATCTTTCAGCTGCAACAAGTTATTTAACTCCAACTGATGCAATGAGTTGATTCTCATTTCTTAAACAACCATGTCGAAAAACACATCGCGTGGTCGTGGAAAAGATGTCATTCTGTTTGAGGAGGGTCAAATCATTGACATGCATCAAGTAATATATTAACTACCGTACAGAAATTTTATTTGCAGAACAGCAACAAAAAGCTCCATATGGTACTTGGGTGATCATGTATACTATAGCGTCAATAGATTTAGTGGTTACCAGACAGATTTTATTCACAGCCCAGTAACCGATGTCCCGTACTACTCTGGTGACCACCCACATGGCTATAACTGTCCAGATGACCTGACTGAAAATTGTTGGATTGTATACCTGGATTATTGAGCATGGACTTCGTTGGTTTACTTATTAATTTTTGTAGTTAAATGTACATAGTTAGTACTTATTTTATGGAAATTAAGAGCTCAGTATGATACTGTGGTGGTAATGCATATCGTTTTATTTAGTAGACTTCGTAATTACCGTACAAAAAAAAAAAAACAATCAGTACGATAACTACCGGTAAAAGCCTTGGATAGTCCAGTGATGACCTTGAATACAAGCAACTTGTCTTTTAGACTGGGTCGTTGCCGAATTAATGTCTCGGTCATACAGTTGTTATAAAGTCTTCAGCACCATGATGGCCGCGCATATACCGGTAATAGATTTGTTTTACGGGTTCTGCAGTACAGAGCTTTTATCTAACGAACAATTACAAAAACCTTAATTTGTTGGTACAGCAATGACGACGCCTATAAAGATTTTATATTATTTACCGTAGATGTTTTTCTTACTGTGCGTAAATAAACGCTCCGTACGGTACAGTGACGAGTGCATACATGTTAAATTTGTTCAGTGGGGTTCGTAGTTATCCTACAGAGCTTTTACTTACTTCACAGTAATTAGAAACTTTGTATGACACACGGGTGACCTTTCAAATATTAAATTTATAGATGCTGTACAGAAATTTGTACTGCACTTACTGTAAGATTAAGATTTGTACTGTTCAGCATCATGTGACAGGTTTAAATGCTGGGCTCCAGAATTACCATAAAGCGTACTGTAACTAAAAAGCACCGTACGGTAAAAAAAAAAAAATTGCTGTAACTTGAGTACGTTTACCTGTACTACTGTTAAAATGTATTACCGATAATAAATAATTTAACCTGAGTACAAACGTACCGTCAATATTTGTTACTTTGAGAGACTTTTAGAAAGGTGCAAAGTCAGCAGCAAAAAAACACAGTAACCACATTAATAGGAAATACAGCAGGTGGAAGTTATTAATATTCATTCAGTGTAGGGAGCGCCTACCGGTACTTGGTTTTGAGGCTTATGGTTAACTTTGGGCCGAGTTGTTTTTAGAGGCTCTTGGTGAAAGGTTAGAAATCCAAGACCTACAGTAAGAAATACTTATAGGTCATCCATGTAAGCATACCTACAACGCAATCTAGCTCAAACCCTAACTGTTCACAATGCGATCTAACAGCCTTCTATAAATATCTCCCATCCACAGTTCTGATTCCACTAAACTAACTCAAGTACACGAAAAAGTAAAGATCAGGTATGACAAAAAGCTTGAGGGAAAAAGCTAATACTTCATCGTTTTCTTGATTAAAGATAAAAAAAAGGAAGATACACACAAATGTAAACCTGCCAGACATAAAAATAACATCACTTAGTTTTAATACGTCTACCTAAAATACACCTTTATATAGATAAGCAATAATAATATTCATTTATGAGATATTTCGTACACTGCAATAACATTCTTAAACACATTTTTACTCATCTGTCGCTGTAAATTCTATGTTTTTTTTATTTATTTATTCATTTTTATAGCCATTCACATATCTCAGGGTTCACCATTACCATGATGACGCATCTTTTAAAGAGACTGCCTAAAGATGAGTTTGGAGTATATCTCAAAAATGTAGATGTATATATATTTAATTTTAATGTCAGGCAGCTAGGAAACGGCTGCAAATATCACGATTGCGGGAACTTTTAACGATAATTCTTAGGAGAAAAGCAGTTCTTGTCCTATTTTCAAGCGTAAGTACGTATGGATTCAGAGGTGTGGAAATAAAATTTGAGGTTTAAGAATTTTTTTTTAATAAACCGTACACATGGATTTGTAATCCATGGTCTCGGTTGGGAACTTCTTGGTTTGGTGCAAACGTAAGAAAACAAATATCGAAAACAAAAATTATCGAAGAGCTTTGTTGTTGTTTTGCTAGCACCCACTGGGTTTTGTACAAAAGTATGAGACAAAAACTGAAGTGCCTTCCGCAAACAAACAAAAATAAAACTTTTAAAAGTGCTTCTCTTGAAGAACAGTTTAAATAAAAAAAAGAGCAGGTTTTTTGGGGTTCAAACCTTTGCGTCTATTTTGCTTAATTTCCATTCTCAACAATACTCCGAAATAACGCAACTCTAAGAGTAGCGTAGAAGGAGCAATTTTAATTTAGCTTCTCGTTGTATGAAGAGCACTTTTAGAGCCTGAGGTCGTTTCGTGGCTTCGCAATGTTGTGGAAAGAAATGAAGGTTCATCTGCATTTCTTCGTTCCCTTGCAATCTCTCCCTTCTCCGTAAATCATCACGACAGTTTGGGTTGTTAGCACGGGTGGTTCAAAACTTAAGACACGTTCTACCACGTTCTTACATTTGGAAAAGAAGAATAAAGTAAAACAAAAGATCCACTTCAAACTATATTTTTCTGGGTCACAACAAGACAGATAATCTCCACTAAAATGTATCTTTGATTTTTAATAAGTTTTTTAAAATATATATCATTACTTTAGGAAGTATGCAGTACCACGCCTTTTGGCCTACTGATCCTGCCCTCTAGAACTACTAAAAACAGGGAAGGGACATAAAAGAAGTAAATGGACTTAAAAAAAAACATAGGTTAATACATTGTTATACCTATAAAATAAGGTGTGTGGGGGGGGGGGGAGCCCAAATAAAAGCTGCTTCAAATTCTTTTCTCACGTTTTCCTTTTTGCTCAAAGGGGTTCAACTTTCTTTTAAGGCTCAAACAAAAGCTTTTGTGCGCACTTCCATTTAAGGCTTCTAAGTGTTCAATTGTGAACTTATTTTTTATTCTAATCCTCAGAGTCTTAGATCAGGCCTGGCAAAGGTCTACAGCCCAAGATGTCCCAGCTGAGCTTGGGGTGGTGCGGAGACCATCTTGGTTGGACAGCAGCTGCCTCTGTCACTGAAAGGCCTGATGGAAACGAGGCAATGTGGTGGTACTAAGGCTGGAGCTGAACACTGGTGGAAGCGGGTGCAGGGATCCGAGGCCCAGACCCCCATTGGAGTTCTGCTGGTCCTGAGGTTGTGGTTGTAAAGAGGTAAGAGGTGCTGTGGCGATGGCGGCGGCTGCCGCGGCAACTGCTGCGGCATGGGGCTCGGCAGCGTGCAGAGTTGAGGCGGAAGAGGAAGGTGCGGAGGATGTGGCAGATGAGGTGTAGCCCATGACCAGACCTCCCGTGCTCATGGGGGCACTGTAGGGAGGAAGGTTTAGGGGTAGGAAACCCAGCAGGTGGGAGAAGTCCATGTTAGCAGCACACAAAGACTCAGCAATCACTGCAGGGCTCTTTGACAAGAGGGAATCCCCGCAAAGTTCATCTGCCAGCCCTGAGGTGGGCTCCAGTCCGTCCTTGGGGGGCGAGGCAGCAGCATGAGGTTCTACAGATGGAACTGGGCCTGGCAGGCCACTCTGCAGATCCATGAGAAAACTCTCCATTTCCACTTTCAAGGGCTTGTCCAGCAAGTATGAGGTAGATCCCAGCTGGTATTTGGGCACCGGCTGGGGCTGGTGCTGCTGCTGGGGAGCCGCAGGCTGGTGATGTGGGGGCGGTGGAGGGGAATGGTGGTGGTGATGATGATGGTGGTGGTGGTGGTGATGGGAGTGTGGGTGAATAGAGGCAGGGGACTCCATGTGACAGCCCATGCCCATAGCTGCAGACAACGAATTGGGCATCAGGGACGGGTGTGGGTGACCCACCCCAGAGTTAGACATGGCCTGGAGGTGGTGGGGGTTGTACATGTTCATTGGAAAAGGTGTCCCACTGGAGAACGGTTTGCCCATCATGGGGTCTTTGTTGGGCCCCATGCTGCACATCATGGGGCTGAGCTCCTCCTTGACTGAGCACGGCGGAGAACCCGTTGCTAAAAGACCCAACATATCCGGGGGCTCCGTCTTGATCTTCAGCAGCTCCTGTGAGTGGCTCTTTTTCACGTGGCGCGTCAGATGGTCTTTCCTGCCGAAGCGCTGGGCGCAGTACTGGCACAGAAAGTCCTTTCGCCCTGTGTGGACCACCATGTGCCGTCTCACGTCTTTGCGTGTGTAGAAGCGTCGGTCACAGTGGTCACATGGGTGTTTTTTCTCCTTGGCACCACCTGAGGACTTCCCCGAGTGGCTCTTGAGGTGCTCCAGGAGAACAGGCGTGCTCTCGTAACTCTGCATGCACACTTTACAAGTTAAATCTCCTGCCGTTGCAGAGTGCATGGCCACATGGCGTTTGTATCCCAGTTTGGTGTTGTAGTGCTTCCCACACTCCTCACACTTGAAGGCCTCTTTGTTAGGATCGTGCGTTTGCAGGTGGTTCTTCAGGTGGTCTTTGCGGTGGAACATTTTTTCACAGAACGAGCACTGATGGGTCTTCTGTGGAGAGTGTGTGGCCATATGCCTGCAAGAACAGATACATCACCAAAGAGACTTAGAAGATGTTTTCAAAAGTCTTATTGTCAAGTGAGACATGAATTCTCTCAGGTAACATTTGTCCTTAAATAGTCCTAAATGTGTCACAGAACCAAAGAGTCAGGACCAAAATGAGTTGTGAAATTACAAATGTGCTTTACCAGATTAAAAACATTAATTAGGTTGAAACATTTCAAACTCTCTGAAATAAACTGGCACTGCCAGTTTATTGGGCCACAGGGCCGTAAACAAGATTTAGAGATTTAAAAAACAACAACATTGTTTCTAAATTTACGTCGATGTCCCTTGTCGCTGAAGGATTTGAACAGTGAATGTAGTTTTTGAGATGAGTGTTTTTTTTTCTGCCCTGAAGTTGAACAGGGATTGCAAGTAAACAATGTTTTTACTGTGAAAAATTCAAGTGGGTAGGAGTTCCACCGTGGAGAAAAACAAAGGTAGGTTTTTGTTTTCTTGTCCGAAGTGGCAGAGTGACGGATCCTGGAGAGCGGAGGGAACAATTTTATCCACCGCCAGGTGGAATGGTGGAGCCAGGGGGGGCCAGTGGTGGCCTTGGCCACCAGAGACTGAAGTCATAGACTAGACGCCACCCCAATCATTTGAGGAAACTACACTTTTGAGCAATATAAATACTAGAAAGCATAGTGTCCTCAAATTATAGGGGTGGTAAGTGGACAGACAGATTTCCCCCGTCCCACTTTTCGCTCTGCGACAGGGAATAAAGATAAAATTCAAAGAGCCAAACTAAAATGTAATAGTTTGATTTAACCTGTTGCCAAATTACATTAAAACATGATTTTATTTAAGGTTCTGTATTTAGGACCACAGATATATTTTTGCACAACTTTTTGTTCCTTAGTTGATTTAAAGCATAGGTGTCAAAAGGGGCCAAAACTAAAACCTTTTTCAAACTAAGGACCAGTTTCAGGATCTACATGAACTCAAATCAGGAACCAACATCTTTTCTTGGTTGCAGGTTCCTCAACAACATTTTGATTGGTCTCATTTGAAGTTCTCCGTTGCACTTTTGACTTCATAATCAAAGATTACTGAAAAAATTAAAGTGATAAAAGTATTTTACATTTAAAATAACATCTTGGGGCCAGATGTCAACGAGGGCCACATTTGGCCCCCGGGCCTTGAGTTTGACACACATGATTTAAAGCCTTTATTGAAAAGGTTAAAAGAAAATGCTGCCCCACTAGGTGGCGATAACATCCTCATTACCAACATATCAAAATACAAAAAAATTACTTTTATCTTGGCTAAAGACTCTCCCAAAACAGTTGTAGCTTTTTTGTTGTTCATAGCATTTTATAAACTTTATTTGCATCTACACGGCATCCATGACTGTATTCCTGGACATTTTGTGCCCATCCACATCATACAGTTCTGAACTCGCTCCGTATATGATCCAATCTGCTGAAGAACACGTTTGAAATGAAAGAAATTAATAATATTTTCCTTTTGGATGTTTTCCATCAGAGCAGAGACATCTTGCAAGTGTCAAAGTGCAACTCTAGCTCTCAACAATGTCCAGACAGCTTTGAGACTCCTGCAGCAACTTCAAACTACTTGGAAAGAATAATTTTTAATACAACTGTTTTGAACATGTTTAAAATTCAAATGAGAGGACCGCACGGCTCTGCAGCTCACGAGAAGATAAGAGAACCCTCCACAAACGCTGCGAGACATTTGGAAGCTTGTTGAAAGAGCCCGGATACCCAGCGAGATACTGGTTTTACTTTTCCAGACTCTGCCATCGTGTGAAGACAAAAATCAAGGAATGAGATGAAATGGTATTTAAAAAATCCGAGCCACGATTGTTAGAGGAGAACACTGAGCTGAGTTCAGGATATACTTCTAGTCTGGAGAACTTATTGATCAGCTGGCAGAATTCCTGCTTTTAGTCAGGACCAGTGTTTTCTGTGGAAGTGTACTTATCAAACCACAGCTCGGATAAATGTAAAGCGACCGGTGGCGTGAATACCTGAAGAGCTTGTACTTGGAGCTGAAGGCCTTGGGACAATGTGGCTGTGAGCAGTGGAAAGGTTTCTCTCCCGTGTGACTCGAGGTGTGAAGCCGGAGCTTCTCCGGTGAGGCAAACAGAGCCCCGCACACCAGACACTCGTTCTCACTCACTCTTCCTACTTCCTCTCCTTCCTCTTCCCTCTCTTTCTCCGTCCGTGGCAGCGGGGCGGCGCTCTGGAACAGCTTGGTGCGTCGTCCCTCTTCCTCCGGTGTCAGTGCAGTAATACAGTGTGAGGCATCGGCGGCAGCAGCTGCCATGGCAGCCTTAGAGTGCCGCTGCCATGAAACTTCACCTGCGGTCCCCCTGCCTCGCAGGCTCAAAGTGGGAATCTGGGCGTGGGGGTCGTTAAAGACGGTTACTGGAAGCTCAAAGGTGAGGCCAACGATCCAGCGGAAGCATTGAGGAAGGTCAGAATCTGTGGTGAGATAAAAAAAGACAAGTTGGGATCCTGAAACTGAACTTATATCTTTAAACAAGATGCATGTCACCTGCCGCCATGCAGGACTTTAAACAAATATCCTTTAGCTCCTGGACTGATGACTCTCAGCTATCTTCCATTCTCCACCACTCGTTCCAGATTCAGGACTCGAGGGCAGCAGCTTGAACAGTGAAGTCCAGACGTCTCTTTCCACAGCCGCCTCTTCAAGATGTTCTGGGAGGACAGGCGAGAGACAGTCTCTCCAGCGTGTCATGGGTCTTCTCCCAGTTGGACATACCTGGAGCACCTCGAGGCGCCCAGGGAGCATCCTTACCAGATGCCCGAACCACCTCAACTGGCTCCTCTGGATGTGGAGGAGCAGCGGTTCTACTCCGAGTCTCTCCTGATAACTGAACTTCTCACCCTGTCTCTAAGGGAGAGTCCAGCTCTGCGGAGGAAACTCATTTCAACGTCCTGCGTCCACGATCTCATTCTTTCAGTCACTACCCAGAGCTCGTGACCAGAGGTGAGGGGAGGAACGTAGACCGACCCATTAACAGAAACCTTTGCCTTGCAGTTGAGCAACAGCTCGGCACAGCATACACAATACTTTCCCCTCACTCGGGAACAAAACCCTGAGATAATTAATCTCTTTGACTTGGAAAAGCCCCTCACTCCTGATCTGGAGAGGGCGTCCCACCTCCTACGGTGCCGATCTTCATCCCAGCGGCACACCGCTCCAGTGAGATCTGAAGATCACGCCAACAGGACCGCCTCATCCTCAAACAGTCAGAAGAAAAAGCTAGTAACGCGACACCCCCACGCAAAAACCGGTAAATTTACCTGAGTCCGTGAAGTTCCTACTCTGCGAGTCAGTCGCTCCTTTACGTCTCCTCCTCCTCCTCCTCACCCTGTCCCAACAGCTACAGCTGGCGGTGAGTGGGAAATGCTGTTCAACATCTTTACTGTCCTGTGAAAGAAAACACAACGGGTGAATCACAAGTTGTAACAAAACGCACAGTTCACGTCAGTTTTATGGTCTATGTCGTTTGTACACCTGTCAAAATTAAACCGTACTGTTCCTGCAATGTGAGCTCTATTTTAATTACCTTTAAAAGAGTTTACTTTTATTGAACGTAACATAACAAAAGAATAAACAGAGTTACGTAAAAAGAAAATTAATTTAAAACAAAAACAAGCAGAAAAAACAACAGTAGTAAAGTATATTTAATTATTCACAGGAGTGGGTAGAAGTATAAACTTATTGTTACACCCACCCCTCTTACATCTATAGCGTCGTCCAATAATTTAATATTCATAGTAACTTGGTTATAACGTTCTGTTTTAGTATTTTATATATTCATATCTATACAATGATTCATATTTGCATGCCATTATGATCAAGCATCAATATTTTTTAACATGTTAAAATTCTTTCTAGATCAATATACCAGAATGCAGTAATAATTGATAAATTCATTAATTGTTAACAGGACTGATAATAGTGTCATTATTTTACATGTTGATATGCAGTGATGGTCATCTTCTTAAAAGACGTTTTAAACTGTTTAATGTTCGGACATTGCTTGATTTCCATCTTTAAACCATTCCACAGCTTCGCCCCACGTACTGATACACAAAAGCTTTTTCTCGTGGTTCTGAATTTCAAAGTTTTAAATTCACCTTTTTCCCTTAAATTATAAAGTCCTTCCTGTTTTGAGAAAAGCTTTTGTTTCAAACTACCAGGCTAAAGTTAAAGTTTGGTGTGGAAGTAGCCGATGAACCTCTGGATCCGATTAAACTTTCAGAACGTAACAGTATTTTAGCAATTTCTACAGATATTGGGCTAAAATTAGGATATATAATATCATATAAACCAATACAGGTGTTTTTTTTTAGCAGAATATAACAGTAATTATTCAACGTAAATAAACCTACCGGTATATTTAACACCACTTAAGAGAACACTTAAAAACCATCTCACATAAAAAAAATCATTATGTTCAGGTTCATGTTCCTACTTGGTAATTGATTATTGACGAACAATTTTCCTTAAAAGTAGCGATAGTTTCGAGCAGCAAAACGTGAGATCTGCAAAGTGATGGTCATGTGCTTCCTTTAACAGCTGTTAGTTTTTTATACTATTATATTAATAATAAAAATATATATATATATATAAAAAATACTGGCTGTAAAACATAATAGTAATATTTGTGTTTCTGAAAAAATCCTGTACATTAGGTGATGCATTTTTGGAATACCAAAATATGGTGAAACTGGTAATTTTGCTTAAATTTAACTTGTTTGCTTTTTTTTTTTAGATTATCTGTTTTTTTTTAACTAGAAAAATCCCACCGAGATCACGTATTTCTTTTTCAACGGAGACTTTGGAGCGAACGCAGCCTAAACATGCATGTTTTTGGACTGTGAGAAAAAACCGGAGTACCCAGAAAAAAAAAGAAGGGACTTGAACCCAGGACTTTCTTCTTGTGTACTAACCGTGCTAACCACTAATCCATCGTGCTGCGGTTGTAAGCTATTTGAAAATTTAAGGCTTATTTAAAGTTTCTAGAGGGAGCTGAACAGAAAACCTGACAGACAATAAGTCAAGGAAAAGAAAATCCTCCGTCTTCGGTCAGAACTCGAGTAAACACGTTAAGATGAAGTTAAACGTGAAGGCTCGCTCCTCGCCGTGTGTCTGCAGATGACAGATCTGCTCACAAAGCCTGCTTTGTGTGTGTGTGTGTACATGTATGTACTTGTTATGAAACAGGATAAGACTCTTGTAGTCTTTGGGAAATCACGGTAAAACACACGAAAACCCTCAGGGTACGAGGACGTTGGGGCGAGTCCGTCATCCTGGATTCAACACGATCCTGACAACAAAAACAGCGTTCGAGTCAAAACAACCTGCACCAAAGCAGCTGCTGACCAACTTTTTATTTTATTTTTTTACACGCGTTTCTGAAAAAGCAAACAAACTCTGGTTCGTGTTGGTCCTTCTCCCTTATTTACCCTCAGTGACCCGTATGACCCCCTGCCCTTCCAGCTAAGTCCAAGGTCGAGAAGACAGAATGCCGCTCCGAGCCGGGCGTCAGCCACGGTAATACGGTTGTATGTAGGAGCGTGAAACAAGTTGCACAAACTCAAGACGCCGTCTTTTCTGTGCAAAAGGTCAAAAACTGGTGAAAGACGACAAATCTTTGGAATGCGCTCCGTGCAGTTCCAGAGGTGCGTCTTATGATTATTTACGTAGAAAATACGAGCAGACTTGTGCATCCACATTGTCTAAAAGCGCGTGTGCACAACTTTTTTAAATTTTTTTACACTCCTCAGCGCTTCCTGCTGCGTCAGTTCCTAAAGTATAAAAATAGATTGTAATATTTTTCCTGAGCAGGATGAGCATGAGGAGAAAAAAGTACAAGACAATTTTTATTTTAAGACTAATTTATGTTTAAAGTCGAACATTTAAACATTTAAAAATTGCTCTAAAAAGGAATACATGTTATGTAGAAAGTAGCTGCAATAAAGCCACATGTTCTGTCACCACGTGGTCACTCGGAGGTGTAAAGGCTTATCTAGTAGATCTGTCAGGGTAACAAATGTTGCTGGGCAATTAATTGTCTCTGAAATTATTGTGATAAATGATAATATTGTTTGAAATTTGACAATAATTATTGTCAAATTTAATAAGAAATGTTTGTTAATTTCACCACTTGCTCTTGCAGAGATCGGATGCTTCTCCCCTCCCTCTCCGCTTTGCTTTGCTGCTCTGTCTGTCTGTGAAACTGCTTCTGAGCCTCTCTTGCATATCCTCCGAACCATAATTATGGACTTGTTTTGATCAGTTGGTCCCTCAACTCAATTTACAACATTTCTTCGAAGAGAAGACAGGCTTTAGGCGAGCCGATTTGCCCTGTTGGCACGCACGCAGCTGGATATCTCACCGACTGGAAGACTTGAGGATGTGTCTATCTCTGCTGCCATTTGTGGATTTTAAGGACGCATATTTAATTGGATTTATGATAAGTGGTTCCTGCTTTTTGTATTCGGCTGGTTGCTGGTTTTATCTACAATCAAGGAAATTGTCTGCAGCAAATTTGGACCCGATCACGCTGCTTACCTTTATGATGGCTTGGTTCGTGCCTCGAGTACCAAAACTCAAATGCTTTGGGCTGAGTGGATCAGATCTTGGGGATTTTACTCAGTCACGTTCCATCGGTGTGGCCGTGTAATTTGGACATTTCGGAACCGAGTGGACCAACACAGACTCAAGGTAGATGTCATTAAGTTCTGCTTGTCCCCAAAACAACTGTGTTTATCTGAATTTGGCTCCCTTGGCTGGCCTTGAAGGCCATCTTATCTGAATTCGCCTGGAAAACGTGATCTGACGCTCACCACCCACTCCCTGAGGAATTTCCAACTGATCAACAAGAGGAAACCAACTGAATAAACATTGTGTCATCATTTTTAGGACTCTTGGATTCTCATAGGCGTTGTACTTTGCCATTCCCCGCCATACCTCGAGAATGTTTACAGATCTCACCGGAGGACACTGGCTGATTATTCCATCCTTACCAGAACTCTTACAGTGCCCTCGAGAGCGTCCAAGGACATTGCTCACCGCTCTCGTCGTCCCCCTCTGCAGAATGTCTAGGTCACTATGTCCTTGTTTGTGTGAGGTGATTTTTAATAGTTTTTTCTTCTCAGGCAAGAAGAAAGAGTCTGATAGGATATTTTTTTTTGCCTCCAATTCCTACATGTGTCCAGTTTCTTTACTTTTTGTCTGTCTAAACAGATCTCAGTTGTAAATGAAACTTCTGGGCTCAATGTGATTTATCTGTCTAAATACAGGTTGAATTAATAATTTGTTTTGCATGTAGTACCTTTTTTTGACCACAGGATGGCAGTATAAGACTGTTTGAACTCAAGGATGGATAGTGACGGAGCGAGCAGTGTGTTTCTTTAAGAAAAATGAGAGGGAGGCCCCTTGACATGACATGGGTTGTCTCTGGTTCTCAAAATGGCAGACGCTCGATGTGGTTTGAGCTCTTTAGCATAGCATTTCTCACACAAAGCTTTTAATTTAAAAAAAATCAGTAAACAAGTTCTCAGCTTCTTTTTGCAGAAAAAAACAACATTTTTCATGAAGGCACGGGTTTCAACCGTGAATTTTTGAGCTTCAACAAGACGGAGGTTTTATCCCGAGGTCGGCCTGTTAGCTAAGCTTGTAGCTTAGCTTCTCAGCTTAGCTGCTTTTAACGATCCAAAAACATGATTTTGGATGGTTATGGATTTCAAAGAGCAAAGAGAAAGGGAGGGGTCAGTGAAAAGCACTGGAGTTGAGCCTTTTGTCATCCAGTGTCTTCAGTAGAAAGAGTGAGATGCAAAGAAACGATAAAGCCGATAAATGAAAAGTAGGTTGAGTTTTCATTTATCATGCGATTAACTTGTTTATTGTTTATCGCGACAGGCCTAATATCTAGTTCCCTTTCATTGCAATATTTTATTGTGCACAAGTATATTACAATATTGATAATATTTTCATAGTATGTGGAGCTTTATTTTACATAGGAAAGTTTGATAAAGTCTTTATGATTTCCACTTTTATTATTCTACCACATGAAGCCGCAAGTTTAATCTATAATAAACTAAATTAAATTTAAACCTACACAAATGCTGCGATGCCAGGCGTAGAGCGTCCAAACAGCTGACTGTGCGCCAAAATTATTTATACTTGAGAAGAAACTCTAAACAAGTTAATGGAGATTCCTCAGACGAGCCGTTTCTCTGATTTGACCATTCATGTCACGACTGTGGAAGTTCTCGCCACCTAGTGGTACGGTACGGTATTTAATGTGGAACTAAAATTTTTAAAAAGTATAAAAATATCCAAAGTGTCAACATACATGATTCGTTCAGGTGAGATGAATCAGAGCGAGCACAGGCTGCAGCACAAAGAACATGGAA